GGGCAATCTGCTTTTTTGATGTCCCTGTCTGTTTTTATGTGTGTGCAGGATTAACATGGACATTTCACAGGCTCACTCACTGTCACATAAAGTCAAACTCATCCGGTGAACAAAGCCCTGGAATCTGTCCTCCCTGCATTTACGTCTGCTCTGTCTCTTTTTTCTTTTTTTTTTTACCTATCCTTCCCTTTGTTGCCTCTCCTCACTGCTGTTACCTTCTGCTTTTCTTCATACTCTAAGAGTTCCTGCTTATACATTTGACACAGGGTCAGAAATTGGTGTTGATAAGCCCATGCCCTCATGGTATCTGAACTTGCCCTTGAAGTTACTATGACAATAATGGAAAAATGGGCAATAATGGAAGTTATATAAACAGATCATGTGATAACAGGCTTTGCTCCCAGGTCTTTTGCCACAAACAGCACATTATTTCAATAGTGACTATGAACAGTATAAATCTAACAGCTCAAAGGGCAAATGATGGGACTGCAGTAAATAGTAACGTAATGTTATTTCTTCAAACAAAAATGGAAAGGAATTTAGCTCAAAACCCTTCTACTTAAATGACACTGTCGCTCAGGCAGGAAGTCGCAAGCTTTCATTCAGCGTTCTGCTTTTGTTAAGGTTAGAAGTTTAAAACCTGAGGTGTAGCAGGGTCATCATGTTGGTCACAAATCAGGAGTAAAAAATCCCAAATGTCAGCTCTAAGTTGCAAAGGTTCATACTTTTTAAAGTCAGTGCTAAAGTTCTGCATGTTTGCCTCGTGCATCATTTCACAATGACTGTCCACACAGCTGACCAAGACAGGCATGTGTGTGTGTGTTTCTTGTTGCATTATTATAGTTTTAACTCTGTATGGCTGCTGTTTTGATGTCCTGTTAGGTTTGTTTACAAAGAACAGATTTTTTTCAAAAAGTGGCTTTACACCTGGAGAATGCATGTATTTTTGTGCATATTATATACAATATGTTTTTTTATATGCAACACATATCTATCTCAGGTAACGTTAAACTCATGTAAGTCTTCTCCTGTGTAGCATTATTCTGGCTTTTAGATAAGTATTTCTTTTTATTTAAATGTGCACTGCAGCTTCTTTGTTTGTATCTTTTTGTCGCATGGAAGAATCTGATTTATTTTGTCTCAAACTACTTCTCAATTCTATTTTCCAGGCTTCTATCCCAAAGCTGATGACTCTGTGCTCTGATATCCAAGAAGTGCGTCAGTGCAACCTACTAGAGATGCCAGACAACATAAACACTTTTGTTTTAAAGGTACGACAACTCCCTCTGACCCAGCGAATGGTTGATATTGAGTGAGTGTATGAATGACAACAACTGCAGCAAGGTCTATGTCAGTTTGCCCGAGCGGTCCGAAGGCAAAACACAAGAGAATGATTCTCCAGGTGGTACTGTATGTGTGTTTATTCCACACATACAAAATCAACCACTTTACTACAACAACAACAACAACAACAAAACTGATGATGCTGATGATGCTGATGATGCTGATGATAATGATGATAATAATAATCCTCGCAATCCTATTCTCCAATCTACTTCCAATACAAACTCCACAACTCGATCTCCAACAAACATTTCTCCGTCCCTTTTATCCCTTTCCCCTTAATCACATGACTGATTGGCTCAAACCATTGAGCGGTGTTTTTATATATTTACACATATCTTAATAAACCATAAATATTTACATAAATACAATATATACAATATAAACACCTAGTTGCAAACCCATATACCATTAATAAACACCACAAATACATACACATGAATATATGAACATGAACATATTTACAGAACCCCACACAAACTCCCCTACTCCCACTTCCCACTTACTACTGTCCTCCAGAACCATACATAAGGGCCACGTTCCCCGGGGACCTGTCTTGACGTGACACCATGTGAAGACAGAGCAGCAGGTTGTGGTAAGTTTCCCTTTGTGTTGTTACGCCCTAGCTCAATCCACAATATACTTCGGTTTGTTTAACGAGTCTTCATACTCGTGTATTTAGTCTGTGTGTCTGTGTTTTGTGTGTTCAAGCGGTTGAGCAGCGGCGGCTAGCAAGCGGACCACGAGGCGGACCGGTCCCGCGCCGTGCGTCTCCGCCCTCGCCGGCAACGCACACCCGAACACGACCAACCAATAAATGTTCTTCTTACACATCTCCTATGTGTCCTTATTACAACGTGCATGCATCTGGGGGTAACGGCAAGCCCGTCGTTACAGTCTAACACCACTGACAGGACCGAAGTGTCAGTGACACTTGACTTTAACATAGACTGTTGTTATTATTATCTGTGGTGAACAGTATTCTTTTTTTTTGGCTACGCAGGTTAATCGAGGCAGCCTGGTATTTGAGACAGACAACGACCAGCAGGTCAGCTCCTGGACAACAGAGCTAAAAGAATGTATCAGCAACAGGTGAGAAACTTGTACTCACTCTAGAAAAGTGTTTGTGTTTGTTTGTCCTGTTTTCTTTTAGTCTAAAAGATACAGGTGGGTAAATAAAGACAACAAACTACAAGTTAGGAACAAAGAAGTCATTTTTATGTGAGTATATTATTCTAAATAGTATTGTTAATCAGTTTTATTGATTTGAAAGTGCCATAAGAACATTACAGTAGTGCAGTTTTTGATCAGCTGTACCAGCAGTAGAATGGTTTTCCTTTTTTATCATCATGATTGCACCATGCGTCGCCAAGTATTACAATATATTTGGTTGCATATACTGTAGTGTAGTGGTAAAAGTGTTTCCCTGTGTATTTTTAACAAACTTGAGTGCAAATGTAGATGAAAAAAAAATTCTAATCAAAGACCAAAAACTCCAACTTGGAGTTCATCAGGAACAACAAAAACAGTTTCAATCTTAACCAAAAAATCTGCCATATATGAACTGAAGTTAGCCTAAAAATAGCTAACATACAACATTTGATAAATTCTCTCCAAAATGATAACATTTTCAAACAAACACTGAAAACTTGAGTACTGCTATTATGTTAAAGTGTTGTTTCATTAAACTCAGCTGCTGTGTTAAGAGGGTGTTGTTAATATTACAAATGCTGGACCGTTGTACTACTCTGTACTACATACAGTATAACATTAACGGGACCATTTGACTGCATGACACGTATTTTACTCTGTGGATACCTGATTTACAAAACACAGAAACACACACACACTTTGGCTGTTTTGGAGTGTGATTTAAGTAGGAATAATTTTAATTGTGTAAACGGAAAACAAACATTTATTTTAATCCTGACTTTCACAGCATTTTAAGTCCTGTCAAGTGACAGGAGTGGAAGATCAAAATAAGTCACTGGGGGGAAGAAAAATCAAACCTTTATATTATATTATAAAAAATAAATTTGAAGCTGATCCTGTTGATCTCTCCCTCTCTGAAAAGAAACAGAACAAATCCTGGATTTGTGTTTCTCAAGCAGAATATCAACTGAATAAAACATCATACAACAGGGCCCTCTAGAGACAATAAAAGAGGAGAACATTTACTCTTACACTATAGCCTTGTTTTTCCACTTTGTAAACCAAAAGAAAAAAAAAAGAAAAACTGTGTTCTTCAACTTTATTCACATCATTCTGGGACCCTTCAAACAAGACTGTGGTTAGACGTCATTTTCAGTCAGAATCTTAACCCTCCTGTTGTCCTCGGGTCAAAATGATCCGCCACTGTTAAAAACCAAACAAAAATCCCCAATAAACAATATTTTTGAAACTTGAAATTTGATGACTTTTCCTAGATTGACCACAACATTAGAAAAAGTGAATTGTTGCCTTTATTCATATTTCCATGTAAGCTGTACAAAAAAAGGTACAAACATTGTCTTCGGGTCAAAATGACCCGACAGTCAAATTGAGTTGAAATCACAGTCACAGAGTTAGTTACACACCACATAATGTGGGAATGTTTTAGTTCTGTCTCAGATCAGTCAATAGCAGACGTAAACAAGACAAGACAGGTGGTCTTCTCGCGGACTGCACTGCCTGTGACCCGATCTGACCCAAACGTAACAATATTGCCTCTTTGTCTGTGTGGACTCCCAGAGGCTATAAAGGTGCTGCAGATGACACTACCCCGAATTCTAGCTGTGCTGAAGCCATGAGTGCGTGTTGTAACATTGAACAGGCTCCAGAGCTGATTTTATCAGATGTCCAACAAGACTTCTGTGATTCAGAAGAATTAGACGGGGAGTAATACAACCCAGAGCATGATGATTCATCTTCAGAAGAAGAAGAAATCCCTGAAGCTGAAAGAGAGACTTTCCTTTCAAAAAACATCAAAATAACATGGTCCTTGTCAGCATATGACAAACATGGCAGGGTGGCAAAACAAAATGTCATGAGGATGACCCCAGGACCCACAAGATATGCCGTTTCTCATGCCCATGACATTGTCTCAACATTTTACATGTTTATCACACCAGCAATAGAAAAAATAATCCTGGAGATGAAAAATCTGGAGGGTTTTCTCAAATATGGAGACAGCTGGAAAAGGATGGATGAGACTGACCTGCATGCCTACTTAGGGCTGCATTCAAAACTCCTTTTACATTTTTATTCTCTCCTAAGCCATAGAAATACTATACAAATATTGCTTACCACCTATAGAGTAAACAATAATACAATTGACAGTGTCATAGCAACCCTCCTGTTGTCTTGAATAAATGCAGTCTTTCTGCCAGGTGAAGAGGGAAAACTTAGGTATTCACACAATTTATGGTGAATGACAAGTTGTTTCTTCAAGTAAAATAGGAATTGGTGTTTAATATTCAATTAAGCTGCTTATATTGGGGG